GCGTGAGATTTAAGCCACCGGGTCCGAGACGCGAACCGCGGTCGACTACGTGGGAGTCCAGCGACATAGCCATTACGCTAACTGCTGGTTCCCAACCCACGATGCCCTTTTATAACACACACAGGATGGAACACCTCCCATGTGCAGGCCAGGAGCCAAGCCCTGCGTGGGAGTCAAAGCCCAGTCAAAGGCCAAACCTCCTCCAGGGAGCCCTACCCAGAGCAGCAACCCCACGGCCTGGGAGTGCCTTCCAGAGTGACACGCTTGCGATCTGAGAGCAATCACCTTTTATTTACCTAGTCTCTGTGGGAATCTAGTCAAGGATGCCTCAACATTGTTAAAATAGAAAAATGAATCAGAAATTTTGATCAATGTTTCCTAAAATCCATTATTATATACACCAAATTAAACATGCTACCCACTAAGAAGGATCTGAGAATATCCCACAGTTAAATAAAAAAGAAAAACTAAAGAAATGCCTAAAAAAGTGCAAGCCACGGTCGCCACAGAGTCACAGGACGTGCAGCGCGCACACATACAAGGACCACGGTCGCCACGGAGTCACAGGACGTGCAGCGCGCACACATACAAGAACCACGGTCGCCACGGAGTCACAGGACGTGCGGCGTGTGCATGTACGAGGACCACGGTCGCCACGGAGTCACAGGATGTGGGCGCATGCACGTACATGGATCACGGTCGCCACGGAGTCACAGGATGTGTGGCATGCATACATACAAGGACCACTGTCACCATGGAGCCACAGGACGTGCAGTGCGTGCATGTACGAGGACCACGGTCGCCACGGAGTCACAGGACGTGCAGCGCGCACACATACAAGGACCACGGTTACCACGGAGTCACAGGACATGCGGCATGTGCATGTATGAGGACCACGGTTGCCACGGAGTCACAGGACATGTGGTGCGCGCATGTACATGGACCACGGTCGCCACAGGGTCACAGGACGTGCGGCGTGCATGTACACGGACGCACAACGAGAGCGTTTGCGGCAGCTCACGGAGTTGACAGTTGCTACCGGGGGAGGCATGATAAAGGACAATAGGATCAACACTTTGGGTCAAAGCAGTTGTTGGGCCAGGGCCAGAGCCACTTCTGCCAATGCACAGCACGTCGTAGCCCGAGCTCTGTGTTTGCTCAATCCGCAGCGATGCCCGCAGCTGTGTCTGCACCCTGCAGTAGATGTCACCTTCGCACTTGCATGCCCTTCCTTCAGGCCGTGGGGAAAGGCCGCTGAGGAACCCCACTGTGTCTACATGAATGAAGGGTCTGCTTTTATTTTTTTTGAAAGAGATATTTGCTATAGGGTGCATGCACTTGCCAGAGAGACAGAGACAGAGAGACAGAAAACAAGAGCTCCTCCCCCCCACCAGGGGAGAAGGCCACACTGGAGTCCCTTCTTTTCTATTCCCCTCTGGAGATTCTGGGCATGCGCACACACCTGTGTGAGTTCCAAGCCTCTGGGTCCCGCACTTGAACCCCAATGGCCACGCGGGCATTCAGCATCTATACCATTAGCCATTAGCTGGTCCCGGAGGGTCTGGTTTTACTGCTGGGAAAGAGGGTCATGGTAGAGGCCAAGGCTGTAGGACTGTTTTAAACTCCTGATGACCGGGACTGGTAGGTGGTGTGGGTAAGGTGCTGGACTCCTACGCAGTTGACTGCGGCTGAAGTCCCAGACCCGGTGGCTTGAAACTCACACCAGGTGCTGTGTGCGTGGTGGCCAAAATCCTGAGAGGAAGGAGGAGCTGGGACTGCTGCATGGCCATCCTTAGAGAGGGTGATTTCTCACTTTCTGTCTCTCTTCTCTCTGTCTCGCCAGGGAGTGTCCATGCCCTATAGTTAAAACCTCCCTAAAGGAAAAAGGAAATCCTCTGACCACAGAATTCAGTTTCTTACAAATCTCTCCACTCATTCCAGTTGTTACAGGCCGGCCTAAACACCACAGTCTCATGGTGGTCCTGTCCCTGACTCACACAGAGCTGAAGAATGATTGTCCTGTCTCAGATGCGGCCTGCCTTCATGGTGGTCCTGTCCCTGACTCACACAGAGCCGTAGTATGATTGCCCTGTCTCAGATGCGGCCTGCCTCAATCCCAGCTTTGTGCCTAGACATAGTCTTCATTTCTCCTCTGGTCTTCTAGCACAGCAAACAGGAGAATGACTAACTCTTAACATTGGATATTTATGTCTTCTAATAATGAATTCAGGCATGTTGTAAACACACACACAGAAGCTAATGAACGAAGTTAATTCTCTTTAAATTGGCATCACCTATTATTACATCGACAGACCTAATATTTCTTTTTTTAAGGCTTTTGCCACATGCACTTGCCAGAGAGTGAGAGAGACAGTGAGAAGGAAAGTGTGAAATCAATCACCCCCCAGGGGAATGGTCACACAGCAATCCCTTCCCTACTCTTCTCTTGGGATTTTGGACATACATGGATACATGCCCAGCATGATTTTTAAGCTGCTGGGTCCAAGACTTGAACCATGGTCAGCCATGTCAGAGTTCAGTACCTTATCCACCACACTACCTGCTGGCTCCCTCAATATTTCTAACAGATACCTTTAATTGTATATGAATTCAAAGTCTTTTTATTGCGAGAGAGATTTTTGCTTAGGGTTCGTGCACTTACTGGAGAGACAGAGGGACAGAGAGTGATAAATCATCCCCCAGGGGAGATAGCCCCACCACAATCCCTTCTCTTCCATTCTCCTGTCAGGATTTTGGGCACACACGCACATGTGCCCAGAGTGAATTTTAAATTCCAAGACCTGCACCACAATTGGCCACATGGGAGTATGGCACCTTAACCACTAGCCACCTGCTGACCCAAACACAGAATCTAAGGTCGTCTGAATGTCTAGGAAAAACTTTTCTCAAGAGTATGGAGCCTGGGCTTTCAGATCGCTTCGGGTCTCATGTTAAAGCTTAAGCATCACTGAATGTCATTAGGGTAAGTGCTGTCACAGTGCCTACGTTAATAAATCAGTGCACGAGAGGAGCTCCTTTTCATAGGAGACTGGGCCAATTCTCCGCAAGTACTCCACACGCACTATTGCAGTTGTTCCGTGAATTGTTCTCAGTGAAGCCTGAGGACCTCGCCTTTCAATTCCGAGTGATCTGCAACACTTGTTTCCAGCACCTGCAGAGACATTTCCCAGACGCCGAGAGAAACTGCGCTTTCATCTTCTGAAATTAGTGTGGCTGCAATTTCACATTATCTTTAGTTGCTCAGCCTGTAGTATTGGCAGTTTATTGCTTCTCCTCGGTACTGCTAGAAGTTGAAACCTGAAGTCATTTTCTGCTTTATTGACTTACAGGAGGAAAAACTGAAATTATCCCGGTCATTAAAGGAGTACTTACAATTTTTTTGCCTTCTATTAACACGGTGGAATTATTTGTTTCGACGTTCCGCAGTATCACATTTCCTTTCTGTTCCCTGTAGATGAATTCTTTATCTATAAGAGAGGAAATAAAAAAGAAACATGAAACACCAAGGAAGTCACCAGGCTTTTGACGGACGCATGTAAAGTGAACGAGCTGGCTCTGAAAAAAAAGAACGCTGCTTTTCATCAAAGGGCCCTTTAAACATGCGAACTGCGTCCAGCTCTTCTCCACACGGCGGCACATGGGCTTCTCTCTGAACCCTTTTTCCTGCCACTGACATGAGAGCACAGCACATGCCACTCAAGGGGAAGCGACTCAGTGACCCCTGGTAACGGGAGGGGAGGCAGGCTGTACCTGGGACCACTGTGACAGGTGTGCGGACCCCTGCAGTCGGGGCTGACGGTGGGCCAGAGAGGCTGGGCTCCACTCGGAATGTGGCAGGAGCAGGTGTTGACTTGCAGCCTAGGAGCAGGTGGTCAGAGTGTTTACACACTAAGAGGAGATATTGTGGGGAGGGGATTCTTGCTTCAGACAGACCAGGGTTACCAGAGAACATGTGGGATGGTGGAGGCAGAGCAACCCAACAGCCAAGGGGACCAGACATCAGAGAGGGGGTTCTTGCTAAACCGACTTAGCAGGGTGCTTTGCTAAAACTGGATTTTACAAGGAAGTGCAAGATGAGCCTAGCTGAAGATCCAGGGGGCTCATTAAAGTCTGGCTGGGCAGCAAATTCTTTGTCAGCCCCTCAAGGGAAAAGAGACATTCTTCTTCCCTGTGAACACGGAAGTCCACTTCCCCGAGTCGCCTGTTGCTCCCTAAGGACCCGCCAAGTCCCCTGTTGGGACCACAGCATGGGACATCTGGACGGAACAACCTGCCAGGCCTTTGCAGAGCAGGGTTTACATGGCTCCTGATGAGCTGGCTGACCCCTGTTCAAGACCCCACTGTGGACTCTGCGTACCCTTTTATGAAGCTCGCTTTCTGGGAGGTTCCGACCTTGCCATGATCCCTTGGGAAGGGCTTGCCGTACCCATAGCTGTTAAGTGCAGCCGTTAAGGTTGGAAGAATTCCCCTGGGAAACTGGGTTAAATGGAAAGGTCAGTTTGGCGGAGATCTGACACGTTCACAACAGTGTCCTTTCCGGGGACTCGGTCTCCCTTCCTATTCGTTTGCGTGTTTTTAACCTCTTTCAAGGCGTTTTGAATCTTTCTTATTTGGGAAGACTACATAAAATATGGTCCATCTCAGAATAACTCTAATGAAAGGTGGGGAAGCCCCTCGCCTCTCGCCCCTCGCCCCTCAACCGTGGGCATCTGCGCCACCAGGCAGCACTGGGGCTGCTTCCCCTCGTGACACTGAAAACGGGGTCCTTTGTGCTTGTCCTTCACTCAGCGTGATGTACGCCATTGATATGTCACGGCATGTGTCACATGTCACTCTGCAGCAGGGTGGCAGCTGAGTCCTAACAAACCTCCGTGTTGCTGCATTCAAATTCGCACCGAAGACCGTTCAGAGGGATGCCAGGTTTTGGCCCTCGGACTCCTGCTGCTATGAACACTCACATCAACGCTCCTGCAGCCCGGGGCGGCGGGGGGAGTGTGGGACCACTGAGACGAGACGTGGGGCGTGTTTTCCTTTCTCTTCGAGCGGATCCAAGGCAGGAAGTGCGGCGCTCCGCTCAAGCTCAGGAAACGCGGGGCTGCCGGGGTGCCCTCGGAGCAGCAGCCCGCACCGCCGGCATGGCCCTCTGCCGGCACCTGGCAGGCCTGGACCACCTCCATCTCACCCAGCTTCCCATTTGCATCCGGGGAGGCCTCGTTATGGCGGCATCTCTTCACGTGACCATTGGCCCTCCGTCGTTCTTTTGTGAAGTACCTATTCAAAGGATTTGCCCATTTTTAATATTCTTACTCAAGAAGGAGTCCTTGCTTCAGCTCTCACAGAGAAAGTAACCGGCAGTAATGGGAGGGCAGCCAGCCTGCTTCCCGGAAGGTGCCGCTCCTGCTTCCGCCTGAACTCCCCTGAAAACCACCCATTCTGTGTCCGAGGGATCTGTGTTTACAGGCGATGCAAATAAAAGCCAAGCGTTTAACTAACGAAATAAAAAGAGATGGAGCCCTGTATACATGTGGGTACATCTTTTTGCATATATCTTTAAAAATATTGTCTACCAGAGTGTGACTTTCTTTTCCATTTTCTTAATTATATCTTTAGAGGATCAAAATAGTTTTCATTTGAATTAAATCTATTTGTTAATATTTTTCTTTTCTGCTTCGTGATTTCTGTGTCCTGGGAAATCTTTGCCTACTCCAGTATCACAACGACTTCTCTCTTACGTTTTCTTCTAGTGCTTCAGTGATATTGGTCTTCTCACTGAGGTCTGGGCTCACGTGGGCGACCTCCCCTGCAGGACGTGAGGTGATCCCAGGTGCACTTTTCCTGACACGTATCTCATCCGTTGTTCTAGCATGTTGTTGGGGAGAGTGTCTTTTTCTCACTGAATTGCCTTAGCAAGTCTTTCCTGGTCAAAATCAAATGACTATGTGTGTGTGGACTGTATCTCATCCGTTGTTCTAGCATGTTGTTGGGGAGAGTGTCTTTTTCTCACTGAATTGCCTTAGCAAGTTTTTCCTGGTCAAAAGTCCACACTGCGTGTGGACTTCTGTTTCTGAACTTCCTCGTCCATCCTGTCCCCCCATATGTGGGCTAGCAGGGTCTGTGCATCCGCTACTGCGTTCTTTCCTGAATTGGTCATTTGTGTCCCTTTTCTTTTTGGTCACACTGGATAGATGTTAGTCAATTTATCAACCTTTTCAAGTCACAGTTTTGGTACCGTCACCCTTGGTATTGTGCTCCACTTCCTCTCTTTTCTGTTTCTTCTTTCTGCTTGCTTTGGCTTTACTTTGCTTTGCTCTTGCTAACTTCTTAAGGTGGAAGCTTAGGTCTTTGGTTTAATATTTTCCATCCTTTCTAATAAAACTATTAAAAGTAAAAATTTCCCTTCATGGAGGGCATTAGCTACATCTCACAAATTTTGATGAGCTGATTTATATCATTATCTAGTCCACGCTACTCAAAGAGGTATACAGATTCAATGCAATCCCTGTCAAAATTCCAGTGTCATCTTTCACAGAGTAGAAAAACAGTATTTAAATTCCTACAGAACCACAAAAGACTGAATAGCCAAAACAATCTTTAGCGAAAAAGACAAAGCTGGCACATTAACTCTCTGATTTAAAATAGATTATAAACCAACTGCAATCATCACAATCTGGTACTAGCATGACACATTGACCAATGAAACAGGGCTGAAAGCCCAAAAATACACCCATGCATTCATGGCCAATTGGTTTTTGACAAAGCTTCCAAGAACGCACAATGGAGAAAAAACAGTCTCTTCAATAAATGGTGCTGGAAAAACTACATATCCACATGAAGATGAAGGAAAGTAGATCCTTACCTCACACCATATGAGAATTAACTTAAAATGGACTAAAGATTTAAATATACAATCTGAAATTGAAACTATTAGAAAAACTTTGTCGGGGCAATGATTTTTTTTTTTTATAACCTCAAAAGCACAAGCAATAAAAGTAAAAACAGATAAACGGGATTACATCAACCTAAAAAGTTTCTGTACACTGAAGAAAAGAATTAATAAAAAGATATCCACAGGATGGAAAAATATTTATAAACTCCACATTATTGTTTGAATTATTTCTAACTGACTCTGTGTTGTCTGCTAGGTCAAATGATTATTTAGAAATCTGAGTTTGATTTCCAAATATCTAAAATTATTCTGTCCTTCATTGCTATAGCTTTTGCATTCAAACCCAGAGGCTCAGAGAATACTCTGTACGCATTTCAGTCTTTTAAAACTCAGTAAGATATCTTGATAGCCCATGGGCCTTGGAAATATACCATATGCATATTTAATAAAATTATGGATATGGCTCAGTTTGAGTCTATTGTTTATTTTTAAAATTTTTGTGAGAGGGCACATACACTTGCTGGAGAGAGACAGGCAGGGAGGAAATTTCTCCTTCCTTTTAGGATTTTGGACAAGCATTGTACATGTGTCTAGAGTGTTTTTCAAGCCCCTGGGTCCAGGACTCGTACCCTGTAGTCATCCAAGAGGGATCCTACTGCCTTAACCAACACATCACAGGCTAGCCCTGTTTATTTTCTGTTTGCCTCCTCTACTCTCATTTCTCTCTCAATTCCTGGCTTTCATTTTATGGTTTGACTATTTTATAGAATTTTGATTTCCCAATTTTTATTTTATTTTTTAAAAGTTAATTCATTTTCCCCATGAGACAAAGGCAGAGAGAGAGAGAGAGAGAGACAGAGCAGCAACTGCAACAGGGCCTTCATGCCAGGATCACCCATGTGGTCATGTGGTCATGAGCGCACACCCACACAGCATGCTAGGGAGGTATCGGGCTGCGAGCCCAGAACCTTTCCCTGGGTTCAGCTGCATGACCACCGCACCACCACCCAGCCCCTGGTTTCCTGATTTCAGCTGCAGTTCTGTATGTTAGCTTTTGAGTGCTGTCCTAGGGATTATAATACACGCCATTACCTTTTCTAGTCCAGTCACTAATTCAGTACTTCTCACAAAATACAGAAATCTGTCCAGCTCTCCAATCCCCATCCACTGCCCATGCTGTCATGGTTGTTATACGTTTTACATTAATTTACTCCACATACTCTGTAAGACAGTGCTCTAACTTATTTATAACAGCATATAGAAGTATAAGATTAAAAGTCAAAAAGACTAAAGATTAAAAGTCAAAAAGAAAAAATAATCTTATATAATTACTCACTATTTAGTATTTCTGATGCTTTTTATTGTTGACTAAAGATCTGAGTTTACATTAGGTATCATTTCCTAGTTCTCTAAGAACTTCTTTTAGGCTTTCTGGTTGTATGGTTTGTGGGCAACAGACTCTTTTATTCTTGTTTGCTCTGAAAAATTATCTTCATTTAGCTATCATTCTTGAAAAATATTTTCTCTGAATAAAGATTTTTAGGTTGATAACTCTTGTTTGCTTTTCCTTTTAGCAGTTTG